GGGGCCGGGGCCGCGGCGCGGGGCTCCGGCGGGCGCTGCGCGGGGCGGCCGGCGCTCAGCCCTGCCCTGCCCTTCCCCCTGCCTCCCTCCCTCCTCCCCCGCGCTGCTTTTCCCACCAGAACTTGTCGCGGAGCGCGGGGCAGCCCGTGGCCGGGGGCAGCGCTGCTGCCGCGCGGTGCCCAGGTGTCCTCTCTGCCACAGCTGTGCGCGATCCCCCGCTGGCCTCGCTGCCCGGGCGGCGTTCGGGCGCGAGTCGCCTTGCTCAGGGAGCAGCGGGGTGAAGTTGCAGTGGTCCAGTCCAGTCGCTTGCAGTGGGGACACGCGTGGTGTGGCGTGGTGTGGTGGGCAGATCTCCTGCCTTTCCTCCCGGCCTGCGAGGTCTCAGGCGCTGCATGCAACCAAACTGGGGCAGCAGGAGCAACAGCCAGAACCCAGAGCGGAGCAGAGCACAAGTATTGCAGATGTTTTATTGCTAAGCTTATTATGGCATGTGCAAACAGCCACCAGTCCCGGGCTGTTCTTGGCAAATTAGTGTGATAAGTCTTACAAAGATGGGATTTAGCGCTCAGTCTTAAGGAGATCAAGAGAACATGCCTCTGAATGGGGTGTGCTGGTATCACAAGCAGCTTTAAGGAGTAATCTGATTTAGGAGTTGATCAAACTTGTCTTGAAATCCAGCCTTAAATAAAGCATAAACCTGTGGGCCTGGCACCTTAATCTGTATCTCCTTGCTGTGCCTCGTGGCTATATGAGAGTATTTCTTATTTTTCAGTGAAAGATTCACATGGTTGAGGAGAATGGTGAGATGAGGTGGATCATGGAGTGATGAAGGGACTTCTGGGGACCATCTAGTGCAGCCCCCTGCACAAGCAGAGCGAAGCTTGGTACAGAGCTGGGTGACTCTCTTGCCCCTCCGTTCGCTTTCAGTGAGTGCCGATTTGCTTCCGTGAGAAGTATGTAGTGGTCTAGTATTGGGGATGCATGAATGTGGGGGCTGAATCTTGTTTGAGGCTTTTTTTTTTCTCTCAGTAAAAGCGGGATTTAAGTGAAATTGTAAAATTTGGAGATCAAATGTAGAGAAAAGATCATGTTGGGCATACTCTTGCTGACCGCGATTAAAGAGCTCTATTATTATTATCTTTTCCAAAATTAATGGGGTCAAAAGAGCAATTTGACATTCTGCTGGACACAAGTAATGTATAACTTGCTGAAAATCAGTAGTTCTAGATAATTGATGGTATTTGTTTTGATCATTAACAAATAATCCTGAACTAACTACTGGATTGATCATTTACAAGTAATCCAGAACTAACAATAGGAAACTACTGTTGGGGGGTAAAAAAGATGGCTATTAAATAGCTCATGATGCAACCTTGTTTTCCTAAAGTACAAAGTAATTACACATCACCCTCCTGCCTATCTTTCCCTCCCCCCTACTCTAAACCTGTATCAGCTGGCTGAATGGTAATCAATGACTATGCAGTTTGGGGGATAAAGTGTCTGCTCATATATAATCCATGGGGTTCTGTGTCTTGATCAGACTTTGCTGGACAGCCAGGAGGAGATACTGGGCAGAAAAAGCAGTGTAATTGAAACTACTTTTGCCTTACTAAATTTGGTCTTTTTCCACAGGGCAAAAAAATCATAGGCAATCAAAAGCTTTTTCTGTTTCTGTTCAAATATGAAGCTTGTTTCAACAACATGAAGGGTTTTTTATTGTTAAACAAAAAGGAAGTAACTCCAATAACAGCAGTTAACTTTCATGTTAAATGGGACACAATTGCAAACAAAGATATGAGCAAACGTTTATGGCTGAATTGGCTTTTTTTAATCTCATACAAAACCTGCTGTTTACACCTGACTCTTAAATTGAATTAAATAACGCACTCTTGATTTGTGCAAGTAGATGAGAATTGATTCCTATGCTTTTCTACTTAATGTACCGAGGCAATATCTAGATAAAGCATATATGAAATCACCTTCCGAAATCAATCTTGCCAAACTTTCTTGAGCCCAACCATAGAGGCAGGGTGAGCAGTTTCTGCTCTGTACCGTGATGCATCCTGTCCTACTGCTGTCCCGGGTCTCTTGTTGCTACTATCCTGATGTGAAGTCAAGGCATGTAGTGCTTGGGAATGTCACATAATTCACTGCCACACCAACACCTGGCGCGCGCTGAAATGCTGCTCTAATAGAGATACGTTGGTATCTCTGGTGCTAAAGAAACAAAACAAAACGTGGCCTCCTTTGTCCAAGAGATTGTGCCAGCATCTTCACAAACCAGGAAAGCAGGCACCAGTAGAGTCTCTGCAGATGGGGAAGATCAGGAGAATTGTCACCTTTCAGTCAAAGGGAAGAAGTGGGTATGACTGATGTTCACTGATGTTGCTATTTTGCTGAAGAGCTTTGGCTTCAACAAACTTTCTGGCTTCTTTACTCTTATACGCTGGAGGAATTAAACTTTGTTATTACATCATCTCATCTGTAGTAAGGGAGGCCTCTCTCAAACATTGGGGGAAAAAATAATCAGGAAAAAAAGCCTAAGTTTAATTCCTCCAGCATATAAGAGTAAAGAAACCAGAGAGTTTGCTCCAGCAGTGGATCCTAGATTAGGCACCATACAATGCTTATTAGTTGATTTAAATAGAAAAAAAAGGTGAATGTAATTGATCATCTGTACCTTCATGAGTTTTTAAAAATTCAAATCCAGTGTCCCTTGTGTTTTTCTTGTTCATGGTCAATGGAGACAATGGGGAAATATAAGGAAAATTTAGTGTAAAAATACTTGAGAGCATACTGAGTATTGCAGGTAGTATTTGGAAGTGCCGATTCAAATAGACTCGCATTAATGCATGTCCTAGACTAGCGTGCTGCGGAACCTGACCACGTTGGCGGCAAGCGCCTGGGTGCTGCTGCCTGCAGCCCCACGTGTTAGCACAGCATTCTAGTTGGCATCAGAGGCACCTCTGAACCGAGCCTTGGTCACTACCATTTTCCCAACAGGTTTAGAGTATTTAAGTCTTTAGTAAAATGTTTTTAGATGGTGGATTTTCTTTCATTTGCTTTGGTTTCCATCTAATTACATTGTAGCTGTAATTAAAAAGACATTCTGTAATGCACATAAACTAAAGACAGACATAAATGCGTTATAGAGTTGTGTCAATTTTTGGTGACCATTAGGTAAATGTAGTAATACAAAATCCTATTAGCCTCTAAGATCACATTTGATTTTTAGTTCTTCAAAAAATCCCTCCAAAGTGACAGCAGTTACTTAAATGGCTATTCAGATCATCTAAATCAAACCATTTGATTGTGTTTTGGTTTTCCTTTTCTGTTCAACTTAATATTCCTTTTCCTTTTCTGTTCAACAAAATACTGGAGACCTGGGAGAAATTGCTGGAATATTTAGAGACTGACACTTATGTTTGGAATTGTTTAGCAATTTATCTAGGCTTCATTAAATACACAAGCAATTGGCATCTGAAAAACTCATTAGCTTTGATGATAGGAAACTTTTCATGGTGTCACGAAGCTATACAAAGCTAAGACTTTTGTATAAAGAAGAAAAAAGCTCCCAACGCCAGAGCACAGGCAGTCACAAAAGACAAGCGCTCGATTGTGAACCAAGTGCAGACTGGACTGGGAGCCCCCGGCCCTGACGGGGGTGCGGGCAGAGCTGCGCTGAGCACATCGGGTCCCCAGGCTGCTCTCAGCTCACCCCGAAAACATCTCTACTAGAGTTACCCGATTTCATCATTTTTTGACTGCTATTGATGGGATTTCCGTCTATTAAGAACAAGATGATTTAACCGAGGAACTTCTTTGGGAGAGAGTGGAGGCTTCTGCACAGGCAAGTGGGTGGAGGGATCCAGTAGCAGAAAGCAGGAAGGATTTGATAGTGTTTTTAAGTCCCAATATTCCCTCTTGCCCTTTCTTTGCCAATAAAATACGTGCAAGTTTAGACAACAACTATCTAAGTATACATATGCTAAAGAAAAAAAACTTTACATGCAAAGTTTGGGGATAATTCTGATAAATAGAAATATTGAATAGGATGAAGGTTTTTGGTGAATAAAATTTAAATTGGTAAATTAGCTGTCGGAAGCCTTTTTTTTTTTGTGGCTGCTTAAGATGATTAAATGCAGAATGGACTGAAATTATCTACTGTTTCTCTTCACAGGCTTAAGAGCTATGGCTTCCTTCAGCAACCTGACTATTGGTATTGCTGTTGCCAGTTTTGCTGTATTTCAGGTCCTGTTCCATGTTATAAGTTCTTGGGTATCGACGCGAATAACTCCTGCTTTTAACAAGCTCAGCCAAAAAAGGAAGATTGAATGGAATTCAAGGTAAAGTGTTCAAAATAAGCTAGAAATAATGAAGTACCAGAAAGTGTATGTGTGTATATATCTATATAGAGCTGCATAGAGATTAAGTGAAACATATGAACTCTGTAGCCTATTATAGCTTTAAAATATTTTTCATGTTCTGAGCTTGAAGAATTGTCCTGTATTCACTGCACTCAAAATGCATTAGTCATCTCTCTGTGCCTGCTGTGCTGTTTAAAGGCAATACAGGTGGCCCATCTTAAAACTGTTTCCATTGTTTTCGGCAGCATTAGTAACAGAAATAATTTTCTCCTTCCATTTGGCAGATGTCCACTTGCAGTGGTTTTTTTTTAGATGCTATTGTCTTAATTGCAGTTCAGTTTCTGAACATTTATCTATTTACCTGAGCATCTTTTTAGGATGCTGGTTCATGGCATTGGTGCAGTGGCTTTAGTTCCTTGTTACAATCAACAACAAAGGCAGAAAGGGAAACTAAATTAAACTTCTGTTGTGTTGGAGAAGGACTTTTGTCTCTAAGCCACGTCAAGTGACCCCTTGAATTATGTAATAGGGTTTCTGAGGACATATCCCATGCTTGTTTGCACTGTGCTAAGCTGTAATGCTTTGCATAATAACATATGAATTGTTTCACAGATCGTAAGCCTGCTAGAATTAAGCTTCTCTGGGCTGTGTTGTAAGGTGTTTAACTAATCAAGTTAATAAACAAAGCAGCTCTGCCTGTGCCCCTTGTTACTTTTTTCTCGAGCTATCCCGGGAGTTGAGAGCTGCGTGCAGATGTGAGTACATATGCGAGTGCCAGGCCAGGGCTGCATTCTGTGCTGAAATTAGAAAGCGTGACACAGAGCACGGCGCAGCAGCCGCGTGCCTGCGCTGCACCTTTCTGTGCAGGGCGTCCTGCCCGAGGCGACAGGAAGGCAACCTGTGCTACTGTGTCCACAACAGGCTCGCACTGCTGCCCAGAAACAAGGTTATGCCCCGAAAGCATCACCAAAAGCAACTGCTGCGTCATGCCAATGTGTTTGTATAGGCAGAGCTATGTTCTGCAGACAGCAGTGCTGGTTGAGGGGGTCACTATCTCTAGCCAAAATGCACTGGGTTAGCGTGCGTGTTTTAAAACACTTTGCTGTGTTGTCACTGCTGCGTCGTCTAATATTGAACTGGCGTGGGGAGTGCTCACACAAATGGTTCTCTTGGCAGACCCGAAGGAAACTGGCACCGAGTATGGTTCTGCATTTTTATCAGCTCAGCCGGGGCTGGGAGAGGGCATCAGTCCATAGACCGAGTAGGAAAGCAGTATTGAAAATATATTGTTACAGTTCGGAGCATTTTGTAAATCAGTCTTTTTTGCCACAGCTCTGGATTGTGTTCTTTTTATGTCAGGGTGTTCTTTCTAATCTTCCAAGAATTATGAACCAATAAAGTAACTGCTTCTGGAATCGTAAGTTTACAAACTGTCAAACTGAGTTAAAAATTACACTTTCTCCCAGGTGTACTTAGCTCTTCAATTTGCTGTGCTAAGTTCCTGCTGCTGCTTCTGCAGTACATGTCTTTGTGCTACTCAGCTGTTGCAAAAAATCTCTTTTATAGTAGAGGAGTAGGTGTGCAACTTATTAGTGCAACTTTTTTTATTTGCAGTTTAGGGAGGAGTTAAATAATGCAGGCTGTGCCAATTATTTTGTGGAAATGATAGTTTGCCCTAAATTTCATGTTGAAATGGAGTATATTGTACTATTTCTCCTCCTCTGTCTCCTTTTCTGTAGAAAAACTTGAAAGTCCATAAGGGTTTTTTCTTCTTTTCCTTCTTGTGCTATGTTTGTATACAGCTTACATTCCTGAGTAGTAAAGTTTGCATAAACAGCTGCTCCTGAGAGAAGCTGTGACTCCAAATGAATGAATTGTGTTTTAGGATTAAAATTTTACTTCTTTCAACATCATCCTCTTCTAAAATCTGTAAATCCCAAGTGTTTCTCAAACACTAATCTTGCACATCATGCTGTGCTTGAAGTTCCTAGTCTTCTGTAATTCCTTGTTGCTAAGAGCTGATGAACTATTGATTATCATCAAAATTCTGATAGCCGAATTGTTTTACTTAGGGAAAAATAATTAGCCTATGTAATAATGGTTGGTGAATGTTCTTATCCAGCATTGTATGTGTAACTGTTCATATTCTATCGATCTCCATCTTTTGTTTTTCTTATTTCTCTCCTCTCTCCCTCACTGATTCCAACCATCTCTTCCTCTGCAAGGTCCTCCTTAAGCAAGAGGCTTAAAATGTTTTCTTTAAATCCTGCCAGTAGCCGTTTGAGTCCTGAGGGTGACTTAGGCACACATAAAATACTAGTAATTTCCAAATAGATGCATTGAATATGTACAAAGACTGCCTTGGTAACTAACCACATCTATACATTTGTTTGTATATAGATAATGTTTAACTATATGATACGCTCACGAGCGTGTAATTTACTGTATTGTGCTTAATGTTTCAAACACAAGAACTGCAAAAGTATTTTGACATGTGATTTCCCTTCTTGTTAGTCAGACCTAAAAAGTGGCAAAACAGTTGGCCGGTGCACAGCACTGCACAGAGTTTAGGGCTGTGTGAAATGCACGCCTGGGTGCACAAACAAACTTGCTGCTACGGTACATGAAGGCCAGCACAGAGATAAAATAAAAGATATATTTTCAAGTTTTCCAGTAAACAGGACAATGCAGTAATCATTTGAAGATTTATATATCATATTGTCAGTAAGGATTCATTACCATAGGAGATAATTAGGAAAAATTATAGATCTCAACTTTACTTTCAAACTTTACTTCCTTCCCATCTGTATTCAGTCAGTCATATGAGCACTTGGATGTAGTGTAAGGAAGAGGTGATTGTCTGCTGCAAGGGCAGAAGGATGCAGCTGAGAATTTCTTTGGTTCCTTCTTCCATAGGTATAATATATAATACCCTGAGTTCCAGTATGTATTTGTGACTCTGGTCTATTTTTCAGGACAGTGTCCACATTCCATGCCTTGGTGGTTGGTGGTTTTTGTCTGTATATTTTGTTGTACGACGAAGCTGTTAATGCCGACCATCTCTGGTAAGATATGTTGCGTGTGTGTTTTGTTTATATAATAACATAATTGGGAATGAAAATAAATGTTAATTACTGAATTAATTGCTTAATTTCTCTTTGGAATACAAACTGTCCATTTTTAAGTTCGTACATTTAATAATGAAAAAATATTTTGTCAATATTAATGCCTACATTATGTCTCTGTGAAGTGGAATGCTTATAGTACAATTGATCTGAAATAGCATATTGAATTACTAACACGGAGAACTGAAAATACAACCTAAGTGGGTAAAGTGAAACTGTGCTATCTACTATAGTCTTTATATATATATAAAAAAAACCTATGTACATGTGAAATATACATGTATAAAATGATAAATGAAATGAGGTTATTTATATTTCAGTCTCTCCAAAAATTCTATTAATCAATTTTTTAAAGCTGTCTTCTGAAAAGTAGGAATGTTTGAAAAAAGGTTTCTAAAAGCTTCTTGAATTAACCAAAATATTGCATATTTAGTGTAATCATTTCTTGATATCTAATTATGTTATTTTGATTCAGTTCCCCAGCTCTTTTTCCTTATGTGTGGAAGATGTCACTTATTTTAGTTAATTATAAATTGGTGTTTGTATTTTGAAGTTTTACTCATCCTCTGAGTCTCCCTTTCTGCAGGGAAGAAGTTGTATTTTTATTCTAAAGGGTAATTAAGTACTTTTAAGTCTCATTTCATGTTTCTGTCATGAGTTGTTTTCAAAGGACCTTGCTGTTGAGCCAGTATAAATCTGCAGAAATGTAACAGTTGATACTGTTTCTGCCTTTTTAAAATTTTTTGATGCTGTCAATTAATGACAATGCGGTGTGAACTGGATGGATTTGGGTGCTTGAAGCTTGGAATTATGATTGCAGACTGACTTCTTATTCCACTGACTTATTATGTGATTTTAATATAACATTAATAGTAACATCAACTTCTGCCGCATTAGCCTCTTATGTAGTGATACATGATCAAAATGTCAGCTTTCTGGCTTTCTTTTCTCCATTTTATTTTAGTATCTTTGAGAGAACAAATACAGTTGTCTGCATGTCTGAGGAGATCTGTTAACCATGCTGAACAGCAGCAGTTTATTTTAAATTTGTATGTGTGTTTGCATGTGTGTGTTGTGGTAAGATACACGAGATAAAATCTTGTATCTTGGTTTGTTTGAGTAGACTTTGTTCTAAATAGTACAAAAGAAGTAACAAATGGCAGAAATAAAACCCATTTGGTGAAGTTAAATTAATCGTGCCTTAACTTGAGTTAAATTTTCTTGTTTTCTTTCCGGGGTGGGGAGGTTATTTCATAGTGTGGAAATCAGATAAACTGGAAAAATTGTTTTTTTTTTACTTTTTTTCCCCTTAGGTTTGAATAAGGTTATGTTAGGTAACTTTTTATACACAAGATTGGATACTTGCTAAAGAAGCCTTAGCATTCTAATATTATGTAAAAGCATTGAATTTTAAAACAGAAAATCTGCCTGCCCTTGGGAGGCAGATTATATTGGTGCTTCTGCTCTTATAAATAGTTTTCTTTTCTCGGATACCTTTAGGATAATTGTCACCTGTGGCTTTATTTTTATAGAGGTAGAATAATATATTTTTTTTAAATACATACTTAGAAGTCTGGTAGTGGAAGGATATCTGATCTGTGTTTTTTAAATCAAAACTTCAGGTTCATTTTATGGAAGTATTTATCTAAATTATTTCTCAGGCAAAAGCCGAGTAGTTTCAAGAATTTATCAATTCTAGATTGGAAAATCAATATTTTCAGTTGTTTAATTATATTAAAGTGTGTGGAGCATCCCTTAACCTGTTAAAAACAGTTGCAATAATTTGAATCCATATTGATGCAGGTGGCTGCCTAAGTGCAGCCGCAGGCTGGACGTGTTGCCCGTGACGCTGCAGCGACTTGCGTACAGCCTGCCAGTAGAATAGAAGGTTGCTTTGCCATCCTGCTCTCGTGTTTGACTTTCTGCTCCCAGGAGCAAGCAACAATACCAGAAACATAGGGTGGTTTTCTCAGAAATTGCCTCTGTACTTACTCTTTTTCAAGACTAACTTTTATGTTATTATGTGTGAGCCTATTAACAGTGTGAGAGGCATTTGTGAATTTGACAAATAAGTGACTGGGGATCCTTGCTGAACCCTTGGCCTCTTCTTTCCCCTACAGTGAGAGCATTGCATAGATCCTCCAGTTCTGGAATACTGGGAAGGTTTGGATAGAGACGTTCTTTCACTCTAGCTGTTGTCAGTGTCTTTGGATAGTTGCTGACTAGATGACAATGTCCAAATTGGTTCTTTCTTGGAGTGTGTTTGTAGGGTGTTTTTGTTTGCTTTAGCATAGGATAATCTCAAATTTTGAGCCTCCTGGTACCTCAGCCTAATTGCTAGATATATGCATGGATGTGAAGCTGGAAAGCAGGATGCTGATACCGTAGCTCTCAAGAGGATCCAGACTCGCAGTAAGGGCAGGATAGGGAGAAGATGTGCTCTTTCTGCTGCTGTCAGGCTGTGCCTGAAACTAGATACAACTGGTCCTAACAAAAAATAATAGAGAATGGGGCATTGATAATTCAGAGGGAGACATCTGCCTTACGTGTGTGCACCTTTTTTGATAGTCTAAGGTTTCCTGTAACACTTTTTTTTTTCTGTGCTCAATTCAGACTGAGATAACATAGACTATGTAGTAATTGTTTTTGAGGTGGGTCAGAAAACATGATAGAAAAATGTGGAGGTGGTAGAGATTAGATAGGGAGAAGTGAGTGAGTGAAGTTGTGACTTCCCCAAAGAATCAGCTTTTTTCATTTAACTGTCCACTGGAGGGTTATTACGCTGTCTTTTTGAAGTGTGATATTCGATCGGTATCTGATTTTTATCTGATATGACTCTACTTGAGAAAAGGCATGGAGAAGGAACACCATGTGGACTTTCATTCATTTTATCTGCCTGGGCATGTTCCTGCATAATTCACATGCTGCACACACCTCCTTGGTAATCAAAGAGAGAGCCCACCGTCCCATCTGTTTATTCAAGGTCCTCCCTGTTTGTCACTCCTGGAACTTGCACCAAAACAAGGCTGCAAGCAGCTGGTTTCAGAAGCCCCATTGTGCTTCTCATTCCATAAGATTGACCAGGAAATCTGGAAAACTGGGATTAATTTGGGATTCTAACAGGAAATCTTCCTGAAGGTGTTGGGAGGTGACAATGGGAAGGGCAGCTGTACATGCTGCTCAGGTTTTTGATTTCCAAGTCTGGAGAGGGTTTGCTCTAGGGTGCTGTTTTCCTGGAAAGACTGAAGGGAAATGATCATTCCCTGTGTCATCCAGATAAGTGCTCTTAAATCTCAATTTTGAGTGCAATCTGGCTGACTCAAACATATGTACATTTGATGCACGACTTGGTTTATATATGTGTGCATGTGTATAAAATAATCTTTATGCAGAGAAGAAGGAGCTGCTTTTCAAACTCCTCAAAGCGTGAATGTGCAGAGGACGGCGGAAGAACAAACAGAAGTTGCTTGTTGTCATGTTTCCCTGTCTTGAGCTGTATTCACAAGTTTGCTGAATACTTGGAACAAAAATGGAAGGGACAGAAGGTGTGAAATTATTCCATTTTCCTGCTAGAAGCTTCCTTGTATGCAAAGAACTGGCAAATAAATTCCTATCATGTGTTCTTCTGCTTATGCCTGTAGATATAATAAGCATCCATCATTTTACGTATATGAAAAGCATCAACTAAGTAAGACGTTTTTCTCTTCCTTAATGAAGTTTTCACAAGGTAGAAGAGTGAGAAGGAAATTGCAGTGTGCCAGGGAGAGAGCTGGGAGACACTGCTTGGTCTGTTGTTCGTTCTTGGTCTGTTCTTCATTCTCTGACTGATGTTTCCAGAGAAACTAGTTCAAGGGATGTGCTGGGTTTCAGTTCTAGTCTCCAACAAGTTTCCTGAAGAGGTAAGTGTCATGAGGCTAGTTAGGAGGTGCCTTCTATCTGATGGAAAATGACCCTGCTTTCCTCACTTAGGAGCTTGTTCACCCAAATACCATCATTTCTTATCAAGGGGCCAACTACTAGGTGACCTGAGGGACATATGATGTTTGATATGTGTGTGTCATTTGCAAATTACAATGCTATAAAGTCTGTAACTGTGCATTTTTGGTATTTTTACAGGGGTGACCCTTCAATAGTGCAACTGAATATTGCTATTACCACAGGCTACCTCATTTCTGGTAATTACTCAATGTGTATACAGTGCACACAACGTATGTGCTTGTGTTGAGTTGCTATGCTGAAAATGTGGTATGTGTATACAGCACAGGTTCTAATGTGGCTTTTAAAATTCCTAATTACTGAGTTGTGATGAAATCACAGAATCCTGCCCGTGGATGTGAAAGATGGGAGTGATATCTCTGCGAGCAGCAAGGAAATGCCCAGTGTGGTTTTAGGATGGTTTGATAAACAACCACAAGCTCCTACCCGTGTTTGTACTTTGGCTAATTTAAGTGCTGGAAGGCGTTAAAGTGGTGCCTTTCACTCACTCCAGGGTATCTGCAACTTCTGGCACTCATATTTATTTCTGCTGACCTCAAAATGCTGGCTGAGGCAGCTTGCTAACTCTCAAAACAAACTGAGGCAAGTGACACCATGAGATTCCTCCCATGCTCATTTTCTAATTTTACTTTAAGTCAAAATTTAGTTTTATGTGTAAAACTAAGAAATATTCAATTATTTTCTTGATAAGGCATTGTATATATTTTTTGTTCTAACTTATTAGCTGAAACTGTCTTGTGAACGTTTCTTACAAAATGTTTTGTAGCTTTCCTTTAATGGCCATGAGCATGTTGACTTGTCAAGGCAAAACTTATTGTGATTCATGCTATTTCCAAGGAAAACCCCTCATGTTAGGCTGCAGTCTCTGATGAGAAATCGAGCCATGTATTGGATTCTGTCAGAGGAGATTTTGTGCCCTGGTGGGTTGGGTAAGGCGGTGATGAGGGTGCCCACTTAGGATGCAGGTTGGATTAAGTCTCCAGTTTATCTCTTGGAGGAACTTCATCTGCCTTGTTTAAATTCATTGGTATCTCTTTCGGAATAATTATGCATTAGCTTTTCACTATGAGTTAATGAGTACCTTTGAATAGAGACCTGGACTTGGCCACTAATTTGTTCTCGCTTCCTTATATAGTTAATGTTTAATTATTTATAAGAAGCAGAGCAGCTCTAGCAGATGATGGAGAGTCCTGCCTGAGGATAGATAATTTTTATAAAAGGAATGAGGACCCACACTGGAGATACAAAAGGCTGAGGGGAAAGTCTTTGATTCAGAACTTTTTTTTGCCTGTATTCCAAGGCAATGTATCAAGTACTTATTTATCTGGAATTTCCTTTTCCAGTAAAGAACAGAGAACCTCCTGAAATCTCAAACCATTAAGAGGGCAAGACGGAACTTTAATGTCAGTGCTTGCAATACAGTGTTAATTCATGTCCGCTCTACCACTTTGCAGTAATTACAGAGTTCTGATTAAATAAACCAAAGTTACTTTTCATTGCAAGTGCCTCTTTCAAAATTATTTTTGGTAAATGACCATTTAGCAAAATGCTGCTAAAACACTACTTTCTTCACAAGCCTTATAGTAGATCACAAAGGTTTCTTGCTTCACAAGTCTTCCAGTAGATCCCTGTCTCTTGCACATGATTATTGGCCATGCTCTCTGCCCTGTGGGAAGTGTAGTTTTCTGAAATTTGTGGGCTCATAAGCACAAGGTGCTACTATGAGATTCTGAATCTCCTTTTTTTCTTTCCAAAATATTTCAGCTAAAGCTATTGTCCCTGTACTCTCCTTAATGTGCAAAACAATTTATGGCAATGGTTGGAAGAATACTGTTGCTTAATGCTTTGTCAGAGCCCTTACTGCAGAAAAGAAAGTCTTCAGGATAAATCCTCAAAGATGATTAATTCAGGAGGCTATTACTGGAACCCTGTGTTAGTGTCTACAACTCTTAAAAACTTGAGGATGGTAATCTTTATATGGTGTATTACCATGATATTTTTTAATATTTATAGAATATATATTACCATTAAAACTTAAATGGTAACATATTGGTATTTCTTTTCTCTTGTAGATTTGTTGCTTATTATTTACTACTGGAAAGCTATTGGTGACAAATATTTTGTAATACATCACTTGGCAGCTCTGTATGCTTACTCATTTGTACTGGTGAGTTCAGAGAAATGCTTTATAGATCTCATTTGATTAATGTTTACAAATTCTTTGCTGCTTGGTGTGTTACCTTTTCTGAAATGCCTGTTTATATTTTCGGTCATTATTACTTTCCAGATATATTTAACAGTCACCTGTGCTAAACACGTGCCCTTCCTGTCTTACAGGCCTTCAATGAAAAAAAAAGCCTAACCTGTTTATCTGTTAAAACTGGAACTCTTTTCATTAGAGGCATTTGAGAGAGAGGGGCCTATGTGGTTATGGGAAAGGGTTTCACAAAAAAACACAATTCCCTGTTCCTTCTGGAGAAATCAGAAGGAAACAGTTTCAGTTGCTTCAGTTGCTTATTTCTTTATTTGCAAGGAATTTCCATAGGTCAACAATCTCTTAAGTCTGGTGCAGGTTTTAATCAACTGGGTGTGGGTTTTTTTCCTTTTTTAATTTTTTTTTTAATTCTTTTTTTAAAGAAAACTAAGGATTCTGTTGTGGCAACAGTGTAATATAAAATAAATGTTTCATACTTCATGTCACTCGGACACTGTTTAGAGAACGCTATTACTTTGGGAGAGAGAATTCTGAAGGATTCTGAAACAAATTCCACTTTATTTGATGCTACAAGTTATTGGAACAGCTGGTAGATGGTGCCTGTTAATATTTAATATTAGTATGCTAATTTGAATAATGTACAACACTATGTGGTTCCTCATACAAAGGTTAAAGGGACCTTATCAACTATTTAGTATAGGCTAACTTCAAGTCTTTTTATATCTATTTTTATATTTATTACTCTGCTGCTCCTAGGTGGAATTTCTTCAGAAAGAAATCCCACTAACCTCTAAACTTATTTAAAAAGGTGTCTCCATGTCACTCTCATGGGCTTATCTTTAGAGAAATTTATTGATGTTTCTTGTTTCAAAGGTGTTTTTGAAGATGCCAAATAATTTGATTAAGCACACAGATTCTGCCTGATGTAGTGCTAAGTCTGATGTAAAATGCCTTAAATGTTAGCTATTGATAAACGCCTTAAGGGGAAAAGAGTGTGCTGTGGGTTGCTCAGGAGAACTGCTGAATATTTTTGAATATTTTTCTCTCTGCGTTTGTCAACTGCTGCTTATCCAGCCATTTACCCAGCCATGATATAATGGATCTTATTTCCGATGTGTAGCACAACCAAAAGATGGACATGGACAATATTCCGTGTTTTTGTCGCTTGCAGAAAAGGGTTCAGTTACAGTGCCTGTCAGGGTAAAATGCTACACACCAGCAGACAATAGCCGAGCTCTTCTTCCACAGTATGTGGCAAGGACTGAAACAGAATTGATGGAAAGGGTTTCCCCTGCGGTGGGAATGAGAAAAGAATTTGAGAGCTTTTATGTGCCCTTTCTGCTGACAATTAAGAGCCCTTGATCTTCACTTAAGCAAGCTACATTCCCTACAGAAATGTAAGAGCTTTTTCCCTTTAGTTTACAGTGATTTCCCCTTCAGTGTAGTTAAACATGAGAAATTTAAAATGTTTATAATCCTCTTAATGATAACTTAATCATTATAATTAGAGCCTACTACTGTTTGTGCCAGTCACTTCTAACTAGCGTTGCCACTCAACTATAAATATTTTAAAGATTTATTTAAAATGGTATAAGACTCTATCACTTCAAGATAATGGAGATTTGTATTTCTTTGTAATAAACCTTATTTTGACATTGTAAGGAAGGTCATTGTGACTAAGAAATTTGCTCACTATCAGTTTTAGTGAGTAATTTGAGACGCCCATTCTGTGCAGCTTGAAGGCTGTTTAGCCGCTGGCTGCTGAGCTTTGTGCGTGTCTCCTCTCTCGTTCGCCAGAGCCGGGGCCTGCTCGCTTACTTTGGGAACTTCCGCCTGCTCGCAGAGTTCTCCACTCCTTTTGTGAACCAGCGGTAAGTGGTGCTTCTCACTGAATTTTTACCTAATTCTTTTTTCTTTAAATCTGGGTTACTGTTTGTTTCACTTAGGAAGTTTTGTGTTGCTGAACATTAGCTGAAAGTGAATTAATATATGTTTAGCTAAAGATTACTGGACAACTACTCTGAAAGCTTTTGGCTGCCACAGTGACAAGGTAGCTGTAGCTGATGTATTTCTCACAAACTCCTCATGTGAAATGATACGAAATGGCAGCCTGTGCTGTGGCCATGTGTCCCTGAATACCCCCACTTACTGCTTTCTCACGAAAACAGAAATTTATCTGTAGGCAATGGAATCCCTTGCGCTGAGAGATGTCATCTCATTAGTGCATAAATCTTTCTTTTTCTCATTAAATGTGAAGAGAACCAGATACTTAAGAGAGTCATGTAAACTGTTGATAATGATTTATGTTATATCTCTTGCTTGCATTAATATAATCAAAAGAGCTATTATTAAAATGATATTCTAATCTCAGAAATGTTTTCTTTGCATTTCCTTTTTGTCATCAGGGGTATCTAACTGGACAATGTATGTCAAGCATTATGTTAATGGCAACCTTTATGGGATAATTATGGACAGTGATGGGAAAAACGTTCATGTTCAGTGAGATTTACTGGCTTTTATCTGTTGGAATGTGGTGAGAGGCAGATCACTGAGCAGATATTTAGAAGCCTTTTTCCTGGCAGATCACAGTACTAAGAACTCTTTATATTACCTGTGGAATCTGCACAGTAAATATCAAGTAAAATAGAGGTGCTCATTGTAAGTCTTAGCAAATGTATGAGGATTCTTCCTTTCTTGTCTGGCTGTGAAATTCTGGCTTAGTTCTAGCTAACAGAACCAGTCAGAAAACCACAGAGCTGGGAATGACAGTACAACTCTCTCTAGGATACCCCATGCAAATACAGCATGCTACCTACAGAGCTCCTAGCTCAGAATTTGTACTTATATATGTTTTTTTTCAGTTATTCATTGTTGTAAACTATCGTGAGAAATGATATAAACTTTGAATTATAACATAGCACATGTCAAAGTGACCGAAATGCCTGCTTGTTGTGTACTGATTACAGTTCAGCTCAGGATTTTCTGCATGTTATTCCTGCACTGTACTGGATATCACACAGTGCTTCATTGTAACTGAGCAGAAGGTTTTACCATGTAACCCAAGACAAAGGACAGTAGAGAATTTAGAGAAGAGAAGGTTAGAAGTAATTAATAAAAACAAGTAATTTTTAAGCCCCATAAAATAAAATCCTTTTTAATGGAATGACTTTAAGTCCATGTGGCGTTCCTTGACTGCTCTTCTTTTGCAGGTGGTTTTTTGAAGTACTAGGATATCCCAAATCTTCCAAGGCCAACATCATCAATGGTGTGTTGATGACAGTTGTGTTCTTCGTGGTGAGGATTGCAGTCATACCTATGTACTACAGCCATGTATTCTCTGCATTTGGAACAGAGGCTTTTGAGAGGTTAGGATTTGCAGCCCAGAGCGCCTGGATTATCTCAAGCGTTGTTTTGGATGTCATGAACGTGATGTGGATGGTCAAAATCACAAAAGGATGCTACAAAGTTATTTGTCTCATTGGACGGGAGGAGGCCAAAACCCATAAAAATGGGAAATCTGACTAGAAATCACATGCATAAAATGAAACGTGTACTGTGAAAATAGCTTGGGTTCCGTGAAACAGTGCACGCTTCTGCTGCGGAATGCTCCTCTTGAGGAAGCAAGGTGTTACCTCTGCAGTGATCTCGGCCCTGCCCTGGCGCTGCCCCGCGCGGCGCTCGTGGGATGTCACCAACCCAGCAGCAGCAGCAGTGCCAGTTCACGGGCCCAGGGACGTGATCCGAGCACCTGGCCGCTGCCTTGGTTGTTGTCCACCAGTGCGTTCTTAAGTGTTTCACTCAGGTTTCTCACATTCATGTTTTATAAACACGGTGAATATCGACTCTCTCTTCGAAAATGAAACTCCTGATATGGTGCAATTTTCCTGGCATGTTCCTATCTTTTCTTGTAGGAATATTTAGTGTTAACAATCAAGATTTCATTCTTGAAAACTTTTTAATTTTTGCAAGAAAAACAAAAAAAAAATCAGCTTTGATTTTTATGAAGTATTTTACTGCTTTTTGTCATGGTTTTATGCATGCACACTGCTTGGGGAGATTTATATAATAATTTAATCTAAAACACTGTATTATAACACCACAAAATATATTTAAAAAACTGTTAAAATATTACAATTTTGATGGGAAGTACTAACTTCTATTATGTTAGCTTACATAGAATAATGCACCTATGAAATCTCCCTGGCATTCTTTTTTTGTAAGATAGCATGGTAAATGATATGTAGAAATAGCATAATTCTGACTAGAGTGATTTTTATTATTATTTCTAATTTTTTTTTTTTTTTTTTTTTGCTGCTACTACTTTTGAGAAGTATTATAACTCCCCTTTGACTGTTTTCTACTTTGGGACGTTTGTTTAATTGTAAAGAGATAAGATTATTCTGTATATGTGTTATGTAACTTAAGACCTTTTTTCTTTTGTCATAGAAACGACCATTTGCTATGAAATACTGAGGTCTGCTTGCCCTGTTTTCCTTGTTAATCAGATTGGAAATCTGAGGTTTTGATTAAAAACATTCTTGAATTCAGGAAGGAGTTGAACTTTGTACATGTTGAAAAAAATGTGTTGAGTTTCTTTAAAGCAGTCAAGTAATTCTGTAGAAGACAGTTCAGATGCATAGAAGAGAATTTCTTTTTCTGAGCCACATATTTGTCAGTAGGTACCACAAGCTTAACGATTTGGACAATATCAGAGAGAAATCTTAGCATCAAGGAATAGTCTAGAATCTAAATTATAATGCAATTTGAGGATTTTTTTTCATATGTGTATATATGTGATTGAGAACTGTATTTGTATTCATAGCTTGGTTTTGTTTTGCTTGTTTTAAAACATATCTGATTTGGGACTGATCAGCTTCTGGGTGTGTTATTTTGTTTGTCTTGAGCATTACTTAAGTTATACTTATGGATGTGCGCTTAAGTATGCATTTTCACTGACTGTTTCAGTGTATATACTATTTTTTGTACACTAACTTTGTTTTCCTTTGCTCTAACAAGGCTGTGTGAAAGCAGCGGGGAGCGCGGAGCCCGACAGCGCTCGTGGCGATGGGTCCCGCGGGCCGCAGGGCGCCCCGCCACGGCTCCTGCGGCCGCCTTCCCTGCCCCGGTCAGGACACTTCCCTAGAGCTGCTTCTAGGGTTAGCGTAACAACCGTTTTTACTTTCAGTGTTGACTAGGAGGCATTTTTTCCCCCAATTCTGCCTCCTTAGAGGATACGGCAAGGATTGTTAATACTTTTCATGCTGTGCTTATTAATACTTCAAGTGAACCTTGTTTAGGCCTTGGAAAACTCAGCAATTATTTTGTTTATGTGGGGATTTTCTTCTTGTTGCTATTTTGTTCTTTGTTTTTTGAGTGAATTCTGTACTTTACTCGAGTGCTGTAAACTCTGTATTTTTGCAGGCTTCACTTTTTGGGCTGCTTTGCAGAAAGAAAGGGGCTCTGCTTTCTACTAACTTGCTGAACCTGCTGTCCTTAAGGTAGTGATTTTGGTGCAGGCAGCATCAAGTCGGGTCTACATATGAAGGTGCTCTGTATTACTTTATGATTTAAAGGGTTTAAAGGTGTAAATGAAATCTGTCACGTGCTGTTTCAGTTGCTAGATCAGGGCATTATTTTTAGTAGCATGTTGCAATCTCAAATCAATTTCAAAGTAAGTAAATTCCAACATTTTGGAGATAACACTTGAAAGCAGAAGCCTGTCTATTCAGGAAGTAGGATGAATATTGATAATGAGAAGCAAATCTTAAGAGGACAATTTGTGGAAGCTCTGTGAATTCCTTCCTTCTCAGCATTAATCTTTAATACTATTCTAAACCTAAATTTCAGTAGCTTTAAAGGATTTTTGTTTGTTTCTTTTCAGTGAAGAACATTCATTACAATAGTCTGTTTCCCTCAGTTCTAGGTAGTTTTATGCATAATAGGAAAGGAAGTCAAGTTATAATAAAATTATGTTAAAACTAGGTTGGCAAAAGAAGTACGCAGGGCAAACTAGGCAACAATCCAAAATGAAAGTGGAATAAGTATTTTAGAATTAGCAATATCTTTGATTGCTATACAAATTAGTGCAATTTTCATTTTTTAATTTAGTATTTTAATTATTACAGTTATATCCTACTGTATCTACTGTACGTCAGAAGACAACTTGCTACAGAAAAAAATAATACTGCTGAATTGGGCAAGGAGGGTAATAAATGTTCTGCCAAGTTATGAAGCATCAGCGTAGCGCACTTTCTGCCTGCCCTTAAAAGCCCAGAGGAGAGCATAGGTAGCATTGGCACCCATTTCTCAATTGCACTTTATTCTTTTAAAAACTGTGCCGGAATATTTATACATTTCATATGGCAAGCCTGTCTCTTTGCTTCTTTCTGTTTTTTTTTTTTTTTTTTTTTTTTTTTTTTTTTTTTTTTTTTTTTTTTTTTTTTTTTAATGCAAAAGAGTTAGAACCTGGTTAGTGGTCACTGTAGTAGTCTTTTGGGGGGATGTCTAAAACCTCCATTTTTTACCAATTGCCAAGTGTTAAGCAGTATCTTAGTGCGTCACCAAGATGGACATGGACATATCAAATGGAAGGAGTTGTTCTTTAAAAATGCTTAAATATCTTGTTTTTCTTTTATGTTCCTTCAATACCAGGTGACATTGAATCAGCGCAGTGATCACGACAGTGTCCGTTTGCACCAGTAAGGCTTTGTGTTGGAATGTAAGATTTCTTTTTGTATGGTTTACTTTTAATGAAAAAATAATAAAGAGCAGTTTCAGAGCTATTGTGGGAAATGGTCAATCAGGTTTTGCTTTTGGAATTCATTTGTGGATGCAGTATTTTGAGAGAGGAAATACACTTCAAAATCCTTGTTGGCTAGATGAGTGTTAAAATGGATTTCAGTGAAGCTGAAAACCTGCTGTAGAGATGCTTATGGGTAACTGTACCCAATAATTCCACAGCTGAAACCTACTCTACCTCTATAAATGCATTTTATTTTGAGTGAGCTCGGTACTTTCTTAGCTTAATGGGTTAAAAATATATATATATATTTTTTGAAAAACATACCCTGAGAATGGAAATGAGACAAGCTGACTTTCTGTATTCTTAATGATTCCAAACATTGCATTAATTTTATTAAAAATTAATTAGTGTTTTAAAGAGAATTACTTCTATCTTTATATTAAAAATGAGGGGAAAGATTACTCATAATACAGCATTCATGTTAACCTAAAGGGAAAAAAACTTACACAAGTGAGCAAATGTTTGCCAGCAGAGGAGAGGTGGAGGAGACTTGACCCACAGTACGGGAAGACATGTTTCTTGTTGTAGTTGAGTCAACAGTGGAATAACAAGTAGCAGAAAGTATTAGAAATTTCTATATCTCTGTGCCCACTGGCAAATGAAATTTGCCTCTTTTAAAAATCTGAGCTGCCTAAGATGTGTTATTAGTTGTTAACTGCTGTGTGAAGAGGACTTTTTGTCATGGACTCATGTGTACATCAGTACGTGTAAACACAAGCTTTCCATGAAAGACCATTAGCAGAGAGGTTGGTGAAGTTGTTCTGTGACGCTTTTGCTGAGCCATTCGGAGGAAAAGCTGCTGGAAAATTGCTTCAGCTTAGGATCTGTTGCAGTGTTGGCTCCTGGGGAGAGGCATCAGGAAAATAAATAGGAAAGAGCTAGAATTTTCAGGTGGAAAGTGTAAAAGATTGGGATGTGTTGATGCCTGTTTCGTACTCTTAAAAGCCTGCTCTACAACCTCGTTAATTGTTTTCAAGGGAATTCACAAGAAAGAGGAGCCTGTCGCTCCGTGGAATATATCTGACAGCTGGGAAGAGAGCAGCGCTTCATTGCTCAGATCCTGGCACCAGGCAAATCAAAATATGTACAGACTTTACCATTCATCCAGCCCCAGGTAAAATGCTTTTTGTAGGACAGGTGAAGGTCTTAAGTTTTTCTGAAAGCAACTTGCAAGGAGAGAAGTTGAGTTATGGGCTATTTAGAGCTCTCTGATTACGTACTTTTAGGTGGTAATACATGATAAGGTTTATTATCCATTGCAAATCTCTACTAGCTACCTCTTTACTCTGAAATTCTTGCTCTATTTATAATAACTAAGCACTTTATAGCTGAGTAAAGAATGGAAGGTGGCTAGGAAGAACAAAATGTGGTTTTAGTATAAGATTTTGTTGTTGTTGTTAGAAAGCCTTCGGAGATCATTTTCGTTGTGCGCTATCTTGAACTCGGAGGATACCTGATCGTAATTATGTACAAGCTTTTTCATCTAGTTGTAGTGTAAAGAAATGTCTTTAAGAGAGTGAATTAAGAAGAGTTCAGCATGTTTTGGTATCAGCCGTAAAGATTTTGTGCTATTTATGCCTTCCTGGTCATTGAAATTTAAAATAAGAAAACATATTCTGTAGTGAATCTTTATTTTTAATGTCTGTGGGATGTCAAAAACTGTCTTGTGGACTGGGTATGCTTTTTTTGAGCTCACAAATATTTATGTATATGAGAATTTGTACCCACAAGGAAGTTGTTGCATGTAAATTGTCTTCTAATATTTTCAATCTTGGTATTTTTTAAATTTTGCTAGATTTGAAAACAATATTTAAATATTAATACTAAGCTCTAATATAGAATGCAACATTTTTGAATGCAATGCATAATACACTGTTTTTTATTTCAACCCTAATCCAATTTCACCGGACAAATCCATTGTACAGTAGGGAGAAAGGAAGAAAAGGGCTAATCATGAGCTCTGGCATATAATTTGCATGCTTAGTATGCACACATCCAAATATCCTGGATTTGTTTCTAGTATGCATATAACAGTTTTCTTTAATATCTACACATACGTATATATGTATATCTACATATATATGTAGATACATTTCTTTAATAT